TTTTTTTGTCTAAAAGATGCGTAATACTATCAAGATTGTTACAGTAACATATTTTTATACTTTTATTTCTTTTTAACTACAAAGAGATAGTACATTACCAAATTCTAAATCAAAACAAATCAAGACTGCTATGGCTAAAAACAAAAAGAAAACACAATTATGAACATGGAACTTTTTATCCTCCACAAAATGACAAATTGAAGGAAAAGCACAATTTATTTTGGAAGAAGATATAGAATAGTAAATTTTTTAAGACTTGTAAAAAAATATACAAAAAAAAAATAAATCAAAAAAATTGACAAAACAAGAAATCATATATGCTATTCTAATTCTCTTAATTAAACAAATTGTATGCATTTGGTTTACTAGTTTTTTTCTTTTATTTGGTAAATGAATTTAACACACTTCTGGTGACTTTTGACAACACTAGTCAAAACTAAATTAATAATTTTAATGTGAAATCATGTTGAAAACTAAAACGGTTTGAACTTTCAATACAAGAACATTTTCAATTGAAATGATAATTTCTTTTTTGGATTTTGAATTTGTTTTGTCTTTAATATATGTTCTCAAGTTATTAAAGATTTTAACTATGAGTTAAAATTTTCATAGTTCCAAATTGCTTTCCTAAGTTCCAACGAAAGATTTGTAATGTTTATATTAAGGGAAAATGTTAGATATATCATTTAACATGTGAATTCTTTAAAAATAGCTTTTTAAAGTATAAAAAAAATTAATGTATTAATTAAGTAGATTATTTCTTATCCATATTAATGAGTACCTCATGGACACCCGTTAAGAAATCCAGTCAAAAGAAGCTCTAGTCTCTGTAATGCCAACTATATTAGCTAACATGTTTTCTTGCTAATATGTTTTAGTAGTTATTCATAGGAATACTAAGTTTTTCCATTCCACGGTGAAACAACGGAGAATGTAATCAGTTATTCATAGGATTAAGAATGAACGGGGGGAATGGATTGAATCGGAGGAGGTTATAGGAGCAGAGGCGGTACGTTTTTTCGAGAATTTGTTTACGGCCTCGCGGTTGACATCGTCTTACGACTTGCTTCACCATCTTCCGATGGTCTTGACATCTGGGGACAATGAGGCATTAGAGCAGGTCCCGTCTCCTGACGAAATTCGGCGGGTTGTGTTTGAGATGGATGGGGATAGCGCGGCGGGCCCGGATGGTTACACGGGGAGGTTCTTTATGGTGGCCTGGCCGTTTGTGGGCGAGGACGTGGGTAGGGCTGTATGCAGTTTCTTCTGTGGTGCAGAGTTGCCAAGGGCAATCACTGCAACTTCCATTGTCCTCATCCCGAAAATAGCTCATCCCCAGAATTTTTCACAATTCAGACCGATTAGTCTGTGCAATTTCATGAATAAAGTGATTTCAAGAATCCTGGCCGACTGACTAGCAACTGTTCTCCCGCAGCTCATTTCTCCACAGCAAAGTGGGTTTGTGCGGGGGCGGCTTATAGCGGACAATTTTTTACTTGCCCAGGAGCTTATGTCTAGTATGGGCAAAGTGACCGGGAGGGCTAATGTGGCTCTCAAGTTTGATATGAGTAAGGCATACGACCGAGTCTCGTGGGTGTTTCTAACTCAGGTGCTGCAAAAATTTGGCTTTGGTGAGCGGTGGATCGACATGGTATGGAGATTGGTCTCAAATGTCTGGTTTTCTGTCTTGGTGAATGGGGCTAGTGTGGGCTTCTTCAAGTCTTCACGAGGACTTCGACAAGGGGACCCTTTGTCCCCAAGATTATTCATTCTGGGTGCAGAAGTGTTGTCTCAGTCTTTGAACAAATTGTTGGATAATTGGAATTTCAAGTGTTTCTCGGTACCGCGGGGTTGCCCAAAGATCACCCATCTCTGTTATGCCGATGATGTCATTATCTTCTCAAGTGCCTCCCATTCCTCGTTAAGGTGCGTCATGCAGACGATTGGGTGGTATAAAGAAGTCTCGGGCCAGTAGATCATTGTTCAAAAGAGTGGCTTCTTGGTGCATGATAAACTACCCGCTCGGGGGATGGCTAAGGTGCGACGGGCTACAGGGTTTACAGCCAAGGATCTCCCTGTTCGATACTTGGGATGCTCGCTATTTGTCGGGCGGCGGAAGATCGGATATTTTATGGATTTGGTGCAATCAGTGGTAAACAAGATGGCAACATGGAGCGCTAGGTATCTTTCTTTTGGAGGTCGCATTATCTTCATTAAGCATGTTCTATCCGCATTATCGGTTCATTTGTTGACGGCTGCGTGCCCCCCAAAAGGGGTTCTGGCTCTGGCCGAACGAGCCATGGCCAATTTCCTATGGGGGAAGAGGGAGAATGGATTCTGGTATCATTGGGTCAAATGGAAAGATCTATGCACAAACAAGTCGCAGGGGGGATTAGGTGTGCACTCTTTATCAGAGATGTACACTGCGTTCTCCTTCAAATTATGGTGGAGATTCCGTACGAGTGACTGTTTGTGGGCCAAGTTTATGAATGCAAAGTACAGTCGTCAAAATCATCCCTGCATGGTAGGGGCTCCGTAGGGCTGCTCATATGTGTGGCGTCACATGCTCCAAGTCCGTGAGGTTGCAGAACAAAAACTTTGTTGGCAGGTACAGGCAGGACAACGTAATTTTTGGTTCGATAATTGGTTGGGTTCTGGCCCATTGTGTCAGCGAGTGGAGAGTGTTTCGGATCATTCGGTAGTGGATTTCGTCTTGAATGGACGGTGGAATCAATCTATGTTGCAACAATGGGTACCAGAGACTATTGTTGCGGAAATTGTCAGGAACCCCGTACCGGCGGGAAGCGGGCAGGATAGGGCAATATGGTGTTTGACGGAGTCTGGGGACTTTTCGATTGCTTCGACCTATCTTTTGTCAAGTGGACATCTCGTTCACGTTTGACAGGGTTTGGCATCCTTGGTTGCCTGTCAAAATTTCTTTTTTCATGATGCGTGTGTTGCGAAACCGCTTGCCTTTAGCGTCTACATTAAGGAGATTAAACGTGCACGGTCCATCAAGGTGCTTTTGTTGTAAAGACTTCCAATCCAAATCTTTGGACCATATTTTCTCAGAGGGTGGTCTAGCACGATTCCTTTGGACATTCTTTGGCACTGTTGTCGGGGTGGCATACCGAGGAACAGGGATACGTGCCAGGTTGGCGGGTTGGTGGAGTATGTCTACACATCACTCGCGGGTGGAGTCACTCCATACGGTGCTGCCTAGTATCATCTGCTGGAATATTTGACTGGTACGGAATTTAGCACATTTTGAGGGGCTTTTCCTACGCAGGCAGACTGTTTGTGATTGTATCTTAGCGGATTTAGTTGGGTTAGTTGGGGAGGGAGTTGTAGGAGAGATGGGGGGAAATGTCTCCTGACATGCTTTTTACTCTTCTATTTCTGGATGGAGGCCTCGATTCTCACATCGGGTGCTCCGTTGGGAATTACCGGTGACGGGGACATGCAAGTTAAATACAGATGGATGTTCATTAGGTAACCCGGGACCTAGTGGAGGGGGCGGTGTCCTTAGGGACTCCTCTGGTGATCTGGTTTTTGGCTTTTCCATTTCCCTTGGGGAGATGACAAGTTTGCAAGCTGAAACCAAGGCATTGTTATATGGGGTCTAGTAGTGCTTGGTGCGGGGGGCCATCAGGGTACAGGTGGAGGTGGACTCGCTATTGTTAGTCAACGTTCTTCGTGGCAAGTCCAGGTGTCCATGGCGAATTCGTTCTGATATAGACACAATCCAATCAATTTTGGGGTCGGATTGGATAGTGGGTCATTGTTTTCGAGAGACAAACCAGGTGGCGGATGTTTTATCTAAATGGGGGGCACGGGGATCGTCAAGTGTCGTGTACTATTCCCTCTCGGAGTTGCCACAACCTGCCATGGGGGCCATGGGGTTGGATAAACAAGGTTGTCCTGTAATACGCATTAGGGCTGTGCGCAATTGATTGCATTTGGGAGAAGATTGACCGATGATCTTCATGGATCATCATTCAGATTGACTGGAAGAGCTGAAGTTGAAAACTGAGTTTAATCTTAGTTTCAGATCCTAAATGCTTAAAATTTTCTCTTTGATGTAAATTGGTTGTTAAATTGTGGGTTGTTGGCAGGGAGTTTCGTCCCTTTATAAGGGGAAACTCTGCCAAAATTTTTATAAAATAATAAAATTTATATTAAAAAAAAAACCCCATTAGTAAGACTAATAAAAAATTCTTAGTAAATTGTAGAAAAAAAAATGTTTTAGTAGTTTTTGAGAGAGAAAAAAATGCAGACTAATGAATGTTTGTTGGGCACCTATTAGATTTTTTATAACTTAAAGTACTTATGTACTACTACAATGTGAATTGAAAGCATGATGTTACTAAAATCTAATTAACTTATAAAATGATATTACTAATATCATATTAAATATAATCATATTAGGGTAATACTAATATCATTTCCTGTGCTTTTTCCTTGGATTATATATTCTTATTAGAATTTTTATTAACTAAGGACATAAAATTTCAATAAAGCGAAAGAACAAATAATTGGTTGAGATTATTTATGGAAAATGGACCTATAACTTATGAAAAGGAAGGTTTTTTTTTTTTTTTCAATTAGTAAATTGACTTAGATAAAAAAGCAGCTCCCAAATTGTAAGAATTGATGAAAAATTATTTACCAGAAAGAGGGAAGAATTAAATTCTTAACATAGAACTAATTATATGAGGAACCGCTGACTTGGCACGTAAACCAATTCTCAAAGAGATAATCGACAACGCTTTATCCCAATTATACATTTGATCAGTATAGCAAGCTTGACCCTAATCATCAATTTTTCCAAGACTTTATGGCTTTAGATTTGAGTCAGAAGTTCTTGTTCATCTGCAAACCCAAAAATATGCTTGTACAATCTGTCGTGCATATTGGCATTATCAAAGTTTTGAATTTTTACAGCATAATTAAAATTCAATCCTAAATGGTAACTTGATGGCCATCTAATATTTTTGTTCCTAGCAAATTGCATTGCCTCTTTTTGAGGCTAGGAATCTAAACATCAGTGCTAATTTTCCTCCATCCAGAAGTTTGATGAAATTCTTAAGCCCAAACTTCTTGAATAACATGAATGTGAATCGTATAAAAAGAACTGCAACACATGAAAGAAAACTAACAACAAATAGACCGCCAAAACTATCAAGGTTCAAAATGTTAGGAGTACTAATTGCATTTTCCGGCATGAATGATGATTGGCTCTTAAACCATTTCTTCTCCATCATCTCAAGTTTCCCTTCTTCCCTGAGCTTCACAATTGCTTGTGACATATCAGACACTAAGGGCAGACCTTTCTGAAACACCTGTACGTGCAAAACATCATTGGTTCATTGTGTGGATTGGCAGATTTGTACTGCAAATTAGTGATATTGCTTGCTCATTGTGTGGATTGGCAGATCTATTAAGAAACCAAAAGAAGACGGGGAAGAGCAGATACTTACAAAACCCCAACCAGCAGTGTTAGATTGAGATGCAACCATGGCATAATCTTTACCATACTTGGCAAGAAAGATCTTGATGTATGGTAGTTCATCAACTACAACACTAACCCCACGGTTCTTGCTTCCTCCAGATAAAGCAGAAGCATAGTCTTCAGGTGAGGTGTAAGGGTGAAGCCCTGTAAAATTTAGATTGCTGGCAACAAGTAGCCCCCCTAAAAAAGAACCATATTGGATTCCTACATAATTCCTTGCTGTTACTAATTGAATCTGTCGCACTGTCAACATAGAACTCAGAGTGGCAGTGTAGCTTGAAGTGAGAATAAGAACAACGAACAACCAAATAATCACCACGAACCTTGACAAATTACTTGTCAACTTTTCTCCTGCAATGCCAATCAATATTGCAACACGACATGGTTACTCCAATTAACTCCAATGTTTTTAAACTCGGACCGGAGAGTGAACCAGAAAAGCTTCCGATTCACGGTTCGATCGGTTCAAAGGTTTAATAATTTTTTATTCATTTTAGTATTAAAAATTTTGAATAAAACTAAAATATTTATTTTAAAAAAATAAATACTTAATAAAAATCGGTTGAACCTTCCGATTTTTACCGATTTTGACCGGTTCAACCGTTGACCGATTTTGATCGATTCAATTAATTCTTTGGATTTTTAGTTGAACCAAACTAGAAGCATAGCCGGTTCGCAGTTTAACGGGGTCGAACTGGCCGGTCCGATCCGGTTTTCAAAACATTGATTAACCCCAGAACGGCTTTGGATCCTCTGTTATACTATCTATGTATTATACGGTGATACGTTTTCATTATTTAATATCCACTAATACAAACTATTAGTCATTTACGCGTGCAGTCATGGTGTAACAATATCAAGTAGTTCAATAAATAGCGCTTAGGTAATGGAAGTAGAGGGCTTACTATGAGCATAAACAAGGGTCGAAAAGCCAAACCACAAGATTGTTCCGATTTGGTATGCAACTGAACCTTGGAATTCTGCATTGGTAGGATGTTCGATGGTCCAAACCACCAATCCCATTAGTACAAAGAAGGCAGCACTTGTAAGCCATAGATTAGCATGAAGGGGCTTTAAGAAAACCCATATATCACTGTTTCCACGCCTTGCTACGGTTCCAGTCCCTAATTCTGTGAAAGGCAATGTGAAGTCCACATACATAGATCTGTTTGTTCTTATTGTGATATCCCCCACAGCGCCATCATATTTCTAAACAATTTGTTTTGCAAGCAACAGAGAATCAATTTGCTTGCCTAAGATTTATGAGCAGCTACAAAAAGGGTTTGCAACTATAAAAGTGAAACAAAACAAAAGATGTAGTGTAGCAATGCATATGTTATCTGAGGAGGTAAAAAGCACCTGATGATATATCTGGTCAATGAGATCATTGTAAGTCCCCAAATTCTCCCAGTTTTCGAACACATATGGTACTTGATAATCCAAGGAATTTATTGCAGCAATAAAGACATCTACGCAATAGCCCGTGAAACTACTTGTATTGGTTTCAGGATCGTAGTGCACTTTTGTTAATTCCGGAAATCCACTAGCGTTGACCACTGCAATCCTTAGCTTTCTACCTCCTGTTGGAGCAGTCGCTGAAACCCCCGGCCATAAGACGGCTTCCAGACCTGTTTTTGTAGTAGTAGAAGAAGATAGACTTCTCCCCCTGAATGAGGGCGGTAGTTCTTTATTAATGCCATGCTTTGGAGTCCAAAATCCAACTCTCCTCTCTCCTTTTCCGATGATGTTCACTATAAGGAAGGTTTCAGAATGTAATTTCCCGTCAAAAAATTGAAATTCACCACTTAAACCTGTAAATTTTGACCCTAAAATCTCATATAAAAGCCTTGTTCCACTATCACAATTTGCAACACGTGCAACGTCCAAGGAGCCTTGGTTCCCCGCATTCAGAGTCTCAGTCCACACCCTTTCAGTAGACTTGGCAAGTGCCCAAACTGTGTCATAGGCCCAAATGCATAAAACATCCATCTCCCTGGCTTCCATCAAAGGATCCTCGGCATATACTACCATCCTCCATCGTGATTTGAACCCACGTAACTTGCTTGATGATGGTATATATGCCTTCATACCTAGCAATCCTTGCGATGACTCGATCACTTCATCATCTATGGAAGAAAATTGGTTCGCTGTCTTATCAGTTACAATCCAAGCATACCCTTCTTTCATCAATCCTATCCTCTTTGCACTAAGAAACAGGCGAGATGAAAGTGATGGTGACATGTGGACAATATAGATGGTTGCTTGCAGGGTTTTCAGCTTGTGAAGATCATTGTTTATTTGATCGTCAGAGGAGAGAGGTGAAATTGATCTCTTACTAGCAATATGAACGTCTGCCACTTGGAGAGACTCAATCAAGCATGGTAATGCTTCTCTTCCATCATCATTGTCCTCATAAATGATGATAACACTCCTCCATTTATATGACTGTAGGATGGAAGCAATCCCCTTAAATTGAGAAGTTTCATCCTGCTTTATTTGGACAAGGAAAGGATATATGCCAGAGAGGACTGAAGAAAATGAAAGCATTGGAACTTTGGCTTTGCCGCATAGTAAGGCTAGGAATTTTGTTTCCAAGGATGTTTCAGGTCCTATGATTGCTTGCACCTTGACGTTTTCCAGAAGATCAAGAGCTGCAAGTTCATATTCAACCATAAAAGCAAATCAAAGTGGTTCTTAAATTGTTAGTTGCAAGATAGAATTTGGGAAGAGAACACCTGTCTACTTTCTCTAGCTGCTTATTATGATGCAAGTATGCAACTTACCTAAAATATTTTTGCTTAGTAAAAAGTCTAAAGGAAATTAACAGTCGGTAACTTGGATTTCAAGCTACAAGCACCTATCGACCATCTGATCATTTGTTCACTATATATACCTGATTATCTTCTTAAAAGATTAATGGAAACTTGTCAGTAACATCCTATTTATTAAATTTACCATTGATTCTAAATGTTGGAACGTACTCTATTAGTGGTGCTGTGGCCTGATACAACTACATAGTTAAACACTCAAATACACAATTCCCCGGGCTTGATCATCCCGGCTAAACACCTTTTTTTTTCTGGCTCTGTATCAATTTATTCATTTTTGTTTGCCGAGTCCAAACTTTCTAAAGTTGACTATGCATCGTTTGAATCATAGCCTGCAAAAACTGGTAAGGAAACAAAGACTGAACTTACCCGCTGATATTGCATGAGTGGGATCCCCCTTGGAGTCTCTGGTGTGCAAAACTATCCGCGTTTTGAAGTGAATATGAGAAGCATAAAACTCGGAGCTTGCCATTGTAATGCATCGGTGGATAGTCTTCCCGGTAACCGATCCCATATCCAGGACAACGCCAATGCTAATCTCGCGGGACAAAGTTGAGCTACTACTACTGCAGGCTGCACATAACTTGGAAGTAGTAAAGCTGAGGATTACTACTACTACAGATATCAGAACATTTGTGTTTTTCCTTTTGATTTCCATTGCAAGAAGGAGTTTTTGCCTTGGGAGATTTTCAGCTAAACTACAATACCATGCACCCGTTTTTAAAAATATTCTCTGCAAGACCTTCGACCAATCCATCACGACCTGGGCATTTGCATGGAAACTTAGAAAGACTTGGAGAGCGTACGAATTTGACTTTGACTGGGGTAGGTATGGTTGTTTTTCTTTTTTTTTTTTTTCCCTCTGAATTTTGTAATTCAATTCCTTTGTCAATTGGTCAAATAACTAATTTGTTATTCTCTTTATGAATACTTCAAAGGCTTTTATCTTGCGAGTGTATCTATACCTATCTATATACTACTCCTTCCCCCGTCATATGTTGGTCGTGTTTCGGGATTTCAACTTTTTAAAAGTAATAGATTAATAGTGTTGTTAGTTGATTTGTTTTCAAAATTATCCTCAAAAATTTAAATTTTAATAAATTTGAATTTAGTATGAAATATAGATAAAAGTGACGATAACGTTGGAAAAAAAGATCAAAAGCAACTTTGATTTCAAAAGGATGATAAAAATTTTGGAACATTCCAAAATAGAAAGTATGATATTTTCAAAAGGACGGAGGAGAATATTACAACTGGGGATTAAGTTGATTTGATTGTATATTAATTTAATTTTTGTTCCCGACAATATCCTTGTTATAAATCTCCAAATTCAATTGCCTTCCGTTATGTTATTGGAGGTAGTTTTGTAAAATCGATAGCGAGGTCTCATATAGGAGAGAAAATTCTGTTTCATTAGAAACAGAATTAGATTTTGAATAAAATGTACTATCCAACATTGTTTACTGTAGAAGAAGATTCTAATAAAACTACATTTTTTCTTATGAAATAGATCGAGTTGTATTTGAAATGAAACTTCTTCAATGTTTAGTATAACCTTCTTAAGACCTAAAGCTACCCAAAAATTCTCATTTCTCACCGACCAAAACATATGGACGAGCCAATTAGCAGTGGTCTCGAGTAGTTCTTGACAAACAATTATTCTTAGTATGGACAAAAATTTCATTCACCCAACGGTCTGCTTCAACTATTCTTGGAAGCACAAAATGACAAAAATTCCATTGATCCTTCTACTAGGTACAATTATGTAAGCAGGAGGACGTTTGGGTCGACATATTTGTTTTTTGCACAATTTTTTTTTTTAAGCCTCCTATAGAAGGAAATCATCAAATCTTAGTTTTGGTTGTAACACTTTTCCAATGAACAAAATGAGACACCAAGTTAGAGAAAGGAGAAGATGATAGTAGGCAATAAATCTAAACAAGCATAAACTGGCAAAACCGAAATGCTTTTTCAGAGTGATCAAACACCAAAATCCTGGATAAGAACTTGTATATTGTAACCTTCTTCAATTTGTCATAGTGTTCTCCTTCAGAAAAACGACCCCATCGTTCTTCGCATTTTGCATTTGCCACCTTTTAATCACTTACATTTAAAATGAAGGCATTTTAATTCCTCACAATAGGCTGCAATTCACCAAACTTTTAGCCAATTTTGCACGGGATTTTCATGTTAAAAATCATCAACTGGGTTAGAAATGCATGATGAATCCAATTGAAACCTATTAAGGAAAATTAGGGTTCATCAATTTAACAAGAGTTTGGAAGAGATTAATTAAAGTTTTTTTAATCACCATGGCCGACTATCTTACGTGTCACTGCAGCAAACCTGTGGTGGAGAAGACTTCATGAAGGGACAAAAACTCAAAGAAAAAAAATCCATGGCTATTCATATTATGAAATAACTCCCAGTTGATTTTATTGGAGATGGAGTGCATTCATGAGCAATGTGTGAGGCATCTAATTATAATATTGTATACATTATCAGTGTATATAAAATTTATTCATAAATATAATAAGTTAAATTAATAACATTGGTTTTCATAGTACATCTCGATATAATAAAAATAAAGAAAAAGAAAGAAAAGAAAAGAGAATCAAGTTTGGAATTTGTAGTGCATGCAACACGGTCCAATTCATAAAAGAATGTACTTTTAGATGGTTAAGAATGCACAAAAAAATCTTCTGGACATGCCTTTTTTGATATTTGACCATGGGCGCCGAATACAAATTAGATCCAGTATCATATTTTTGACAAATGAATAATTTTTTTTGTGCAAAAGTATTACAATTCAAGAAGTAGGTAATAATTTTAATAGTTAATCTTATATATATTGATAATGTATACAATATCAGAATCAGATATTTAACACATGTATAAAATTTGGATTTCAAATTCAAATTTAGATTAATTATTATGTTTTCAACGTTGATAGTATATATATTGCCAATATATAAAATATTAATTCTAATTTTAAAGCATTGACAGTTGATCTTTTTTTTTTATATGAAAGGTAATAATATATTAAAAACTGCTAATAAGAGTTTATAAATCGAGGCAGCCAAAACTACTAATAATGGATCTAATTTTCCTTTTTAATGTGTTGATTTGGTGCCCTCATTATGTTAAATTTAAAGCATTAATAGTTGATCTAATTTTGGGCCCAAATCCCTTTGTCATCTCCTCACTTTTTAAGTCCCAGCCTTCCCCTGTTAGAAGAAAAAAAAGATGATCTAATTTCCTTTTCAAGGTGCTTACCAAATCAAAAAAAATCTTTAAACATGATAACAAGAAATTTCATGGGATCAAATCCTCTATTCCCCTTCTGCACTTCTTAAATTCCATTCCTACACTACTTAAAAAAAAATTTTAAAAATTTAAAGAATGAAGTTCCATAGGAATATGGATTGATCTTATATACACAGTCAGTATATACACTATCACCATTAGATATATGCCACATGTATAAAATTTGAATTTAAAATCCAAAATTTTCTCATGTGTTACCCATCCAATTGTGATAATATATACACTCATAGTATCTATAAAATTTACTCTAGGAATATAGCATTACCAATTGATTAAAGTTTGAAACAAAAATAAAACAAAAAATAAACCAGATAGAAGTATAGAATCATATTTATCTAAAGATAACTTGTATAGTGTATGGAATATGTTTAGAAGGTAAAATAATAGACTTACCACGACTCAATAAGTTTTGTAGAAATCTGTTGGAATTTAAGATCTATACCAATTTTGAAATATAGTAATAATATATAATTCTTTATGATAAAACACATCAAGATTTCATTAAACAATTAATGAAATATGCACTAATCAGACATTATATTAGAAATACATAGACACTCCATTTTTGAGTATTGGATACTACATATTTGAAAAATTAATAAATCACAATAACACTATGAAATTTCTAACATAGTTAAAAATCAAATAAAAAATTGTAACTTTCAAAACATCTATGCATATATCCAATTGCTAGATTTGTTAATTAATTAGTTCAAACACAGATAATATGGTAAAATCTAATGAAATAACCTAAAAAATCATATATTTGACAAACCAAATTTGAAAAATTCTCATATTTAACAAAAGAAATAGAAAAATTAAAGAAAACCGAATCGCTACAGAAGAAGAAAACTCTTACTAAGAAATCCTAAGTGATAAGAAATTGTTACTAGAAAACCCTAAGAGATACTTACTACACCAAAAAACAAAAACAAAGAAAGAAAACTATAGGAGGAAAGGAGACCAAGAGACCAATTGGTCTTCTTTTCGAGGAGGAAGATATTCTGTCTTGCAATGAAGTTTGAGAGAAGGAGGAGAATTTAGTTACACTATATAATACAATATAACAAAAATTTGCAATGCACCTACACCTAACTACTATGATATTAGGAGTCTAAATAAAATTAAGGATGTAGAAAAAGATCCACTCAAATTGCATTGCCATTCCTTGCAGCTAGGAACTCCTATTATTATTGTCAATTTTCCTTCATCTACAAGTTTGACGATATTCTCTAGCTGCAACTTTTGGTACAAAATGGAAGTGTAATGTTTGAGAAGAGCGGAAACACACGAAAGAATACTGACAAGAGATAGGCTGCCAAAAGCTCGACACCATTATTTCTCTAAGTCTAAAATAATAAATAAAAAAAAATTATACAGAAGCATAGAATCAAAATTTTTCTAAAGACTTAATATGGTACATGAAGTATGCTTAGAAGGTGAAATAATTGACTTACCACAACTCAATAAATTTGATGCATAATTATGCGATCCATTGGAAATTAATGTCTGTACTAAATTCGAAATATAGTGACAGTAAATAATTTATACAAAAAAAATGTGCAACGCACATACTCCTAAAGTATAATATGATATTAGGGAGAGTCTGAGTACAATGAAGGATGTGGAAATAATTGTTATGTAGCAACAACTACTCAAATTCCATTGCCATTCCTTGCAGCTAGGAAGCTTATCAACATTGCCAATTTTCCTCCATCAAGAAATTTGATGATATTCTTGAGCTGCAACTTCTTGAGTAAAATGGAAGTAAAATGTATGAGAAGAACTGAAACACATGAAATAAAACTAACAAAAAATAGGCCGCCAAAACTTTGGAGGTTCAAAATGTTAGGCGTGGGACTTGCATCATCCAGCATCAATGGTGATTGGCTCTTGAACCATTTCTTCTCCATCATCTCGAGTTTCCCTTCCTCCCTGAGTTTAACAATTGCTTGAGATATATCAGATACCAACGGCAGACCTTTTCGAAACGGCTGTTCATCAATCAAAAATTAAGGAACAAATATTTGCATCACTATGGTATCAGATTTTACAAGAATATGCAACTAACCAAAACAATTTCGAAAACATACATACAAAATTTCAAAATCCACACTTGATTTCAAAGAAGAAAAAAATTCACGCGACATTTCTGTACGTATCTCGACAATATTAGTATCTACCATACGTACCTCAATAATATCTTATTCTCATTCTTTTGTTATCTATTATATATTTGTACACATACAGACACAGACACATACATATATACATACATATATATATATATATATGTATGTATATATGTGTACATGTGAATTGATGTATTATATATACAAACATGCATAGAAGAATGTACATATATAGATTTTTCAAATAAGCGACTTCTCTCCTAAGTGGTATAGCTAATTGAAATGAATTCATGGATCAATTGCTTAACTGGATGTAACTATTTTGATATTTAGTTCTTCCCTTTAAATAACCAATCAAATGTAATATAAATATTGCTGCTCCAGAAATCAATGTAATTTTTTTTTATAATTTCTCTTTGTTCTAATTACTTTTATCGCTTCACTAAATTATTTCTCTTTAATTATGTAAATAACTTAGTTTAGTAGATGTGGAGCTATTGATAATAATACATATAGTAATTTCTCTTCGAAGCTCAACAATGAATATTCATTCCGTTTAACTTATTTTTGTAAGAAATATTTTTTTTTTTACTTTTTCGAGATACTAATGCTTCTTCTAAATGATTATAGACCTTTAGAGGTACAAACATTTGTGTGACCGTTTAAACTCGGCATAGTAATTTACAAAATCAAATTACATAATTTGGTTAAATGAAGCAAACACATAGTATCGGCAAACATTTAAATGACTATTCACAGGAAAAATATGCTATTCCGTGCAATATATACACCAATTAAAACTCAGTTAATCGGTGTAATTAATAGATTCCATCATAGTTATATTATTAGTAGTATTTGTACAGGGGACGAGAAATATTCCAAACCTAATTTATTATAATTCCATAAGAAAGTCAATGGATTTAAACCTTTATTTAGTTATCCTTTGGACTGGTACAAACCTTTACTTAATTATCCTTTGGACTTGTACAAATTACTGAGTTCCCTTTTTTAACTGTTTGGATTAACAGAGTTAGTGAGAAACTAGAAGAAGAAAAGTGCAAATACTCACAAAACCAAAACCAGCAGAGTTAGACCCTATTTGATAACCCAATTCAGAACTTAAATTTAATGGATTTAGATCTTAACATATTTAGATCGTTTGATAACAAAAAATGGAACATGTGAATTAATGAAGTGGTACTGAATTTTCTAGGTAAAACTTACTTTCAAAATTAAATGATAGCTATTCATTTATCACTGAATGTGATTTGCACTCAAATATATTGGATTTAATACTTAACAATTCAATAATTTAATAGATTCAGACTTTAGATTTCAAATTTCAGACTTCAGTTTGCAGATTTCAATTTTATCAAACGCACGCTTAATGAGAAACTCAAAGGAGGAAAGTGCTAAAACTCACAAAACCAAAACCAGCAGTCTCAGATTGAGATGCAACCATGGCATAATCAGCACCATACTTGGCTAGAAAAATCTTAATGTACGGTATTTCATCAACTATGGCATCAACCCCGCCTTTCTTGCTTCCGCGTGATAGAGCATAATCATATTGCTCAGGCGTGGCGTAATTAGGGCTAATCCCTCTTAAATTTAGATTGCCGGCGATTAATCCCCCTATAGAAGAACCATGATGGAATCCCACAGACCGCCCTGCTAATTGAATCTGTCGCACAGTCAACATAGAACTCAGAGTGGCAGTGTAGCTTGAAGTCAGTATAAGCACCACAAACAGCCAAACAACCACTGCAAACCTTGACATATTACTTGTCAACTTTTCTCCTGCAATGCCAATTGATATTGCAACATTATTCAGCCTAAACTTCAAAACACAACACTCACTGAGTTACTCGTACACTCGTGTTGTATCAGTATCAATTTCAATTGCTTGATTAACCAAAATGCTTATGCATTCTACAGGCAAAAAAATGCCAGATTGCTAGCCATGAATGTAAATGAGTCACTTTTTCAAATGGCAAAATAAGAATATAACTATTATTTTTTGTTGACTTTAGAATTGGAGTCTATCTTTTAGTCTGTTTTTGCCACTTAAAAATTTGGAACATCAAAAAAAGTGAAAACACGATTAATAATAGAACACAAAGAGTACTTACTATGAGCATATACAAGGGTTGAAAAGCCGAACCACAAGATTGTTCCCAATTGATGCGCAACTGAACCCTGAAATTCCGCATTGGTAGGATGTTCAATGGTCCAAACCACCAGTCCCGTAAGGACAAAGAAGGCAGCACTCGTAAACCATAGGTTACTTCGAAGGGGCTTCAGGAAAACCCACATGTCGTGGTTTTCACGTCTTGCTACCGTTCCAGTCCCCAAATCGGTGAAAGGCACGGTGAAATCCACGAATGCATGTCTATGTGCTAGGATCGTGATATCCCCCACAGCGCCATCGTATTCCTGAACGATTTGCAACAAACAGATACAGCAACTAATTTGCTCGCCTCACATAAAAAGAGTAGCTTGACAAAGGTTTGCAAAACTATATGTGAATTACTACTTGTTTCTTTCATATGAGATATGACACGCCCATGAAACAAATGATGCTGGGTGCACACAGTGCATATATGTTATCTATGGAGGAAAAAGTTACCTGATGATATATCTGGTCCATGAGATCACTGAAAGTTTGCCCCGGATTCTCCCAGTCTTCAAACACATATGGTACGTGATAATCCAGGGAATTTATTGCAGCAACAAAAACGTCCACGCAGTAGCCCGTGAAACTCTTGGTATTGGTTTCAGGATCGTAGTGCACTTTTGTTAATTCCGGAAATCCACTAGTGTTGACCACTGCAATCCTTAACTTTCTAGCCCCTGTTGGAGCAGTCGCAGAAACCCCTGGCCATAAAACGGCTTCCAGACCTTTTTGTGTAGTAGAAGAAGATAGGCTTCTCCCTTTGATCGAGGACGGTAGTTCTTTAATGATGCCATACTTTGGGGTCCAAAATCCAACTCTCCTCTCTCCTCTTCCTATAACATTCACTAAAAGAAAGGCTTCAGAATGTAATTTCCCATCAAGAAATTGGAATTGGCCACTTAAACCAGTGAATCTTGATCCTAGAATCTCATGTAAAAGTCTTGTTCTGCTCTCAGCATTTGCAACATGCACAACAGATTCAGTCCATACCCTTTCAGCAGAATCGGCTAGTGCCCAGACTGTGTCATATGCCCAAATGCCTAAAACATCTAACTCCCTATCTTCCATCAAATGATTTTCTGCGTACAACATCTTTCTCCATCTCAATGTGAAGCCGTGCAACTTGCTTGATAAAGGTATATAGGCCTTCATACCTAGCACTCCTTGTGATGACTCAATCACTTCATAATCCATGCAAGATAATTGGTTCATTGTATTGTCCGTTACAATCCAAGCATACCCTTCATTCATCAGCCCGAGCCTTTTTGCACTAAAGAATAGGCGAGAAGAAAGTGATGGTGGCATGTGAACAACATATATGGTTGCTTGCAGGGCTTTTAGCTTGTGAACTTCATTGTTTATTTGATCTTCAGTAGAGAGAGGAGAAATTGAAATCCTACTCGCAATATGAATATTTGCCACTTCGAGAGACTCAACCAAGTAAGGTAACACTTCTCTTCCATCATCACTGTTCTCATATATGATGATCACACTCCTCCACTTATATGATTGAATGATGGATGCGATCCCTCTGAATTGAGAAGTTTCATCTGGCTTAATTTGAACATGGTAAGGGTGTGTGCCAGAGAGGATTGAAGAAAAAGAAAGGATTGGGACTTTGGCTTTGCCAGCAAGCACGGCCAAAAATTTTGTTTCCGAGGATGTTTCAGGTCCTATGATTGCTTGCACCTTGATGTTTTCTAGAAGATCAAGAGCTGCAAGTTCATATAAACAGTAGAAGCACATCAATAGGGTCTAAATTTTTAAAGTTCTCAAATATAAGCAAAACAATGGGAAAAGAACACTTCATCTATAAGTATTTCAGCCGCCTGTTAAAAAAAAACACTTCATACTAACTAACCATGTCCGAATACAACTAAGTATATGATTAAAACAGTTATTATTGACAATTCCGGCGCTTGATCTTACTGGCTAGCCTCCTTTTCTTTCTTTCTGTTTTATGCTTGTTATTTATTCGCAATCATTTGCATTATAGTTGGCAAATGGGTAAATCAAGAAAACTAGACACAGAACTGACCTGCTGATACAGCATGAGCGGAATCCGCCCTGGAGTCCCTAGTGTGCAGAACTATCCGCGTTTTATAGCCAAGATGGGAAGCATAAAAGTCTGAGGTTGCCATTGTAATGCATCTGTGGATAGTCTTCCCAGTTAGGGATCCCATATCCAGGATAACACCAACGTTAATCTCACTAATGTGGTCTGACTCTGAATGTATCTTTGGAGTTGGAAGGCAAAGGAATAGTGCTATAACAGATATCAGAATATTTGTGTTTTCTCTTCTGATTTCCATCCCGAGAACAGATGGCTGATATTTTGCTCTTGAAGAATTTCAGCTTTACAGGAAAATGATCATATTTTGCTCGTTTCTCGTCTTAATACTGAGTTGCTAACTCTGAGAGAAAGACATCTAACCATCACGACCGTGTGGACATTGGGCATGGAAACTCAGCAAGAAAGAACGGCGTCGACTTTGATTAAGTCTTTTTCTCGTCTTAATACTGATTAAGTCGTTTCTCGTCTTAATACTGAGTTGCTAACTCTGAGAGAAAGACATCTAACCATCACGACCGTGTAGACAATGGGCATGGAAACTCAGCAAGAAAGAACGGCGTTGACTTTGATTGACTTTGATTGAGTCTTTTTCTTTTTTCTTTTGGTTATTTCTGCTTCTATTTTGTGATTCAAGAGATATGACTAACTTGGTCACGTAACTAATCTGTGATGGTTATTTTTCCTTTTTTGTTTTTTTTTTCTGCTCCAAATCTTGTGATTCAAGAGATATGGTGAATGTTACATCTAGGGTGAAAATTCTCATAGTTTGCTGACATTGTTTGTGTTAGTTCTAAGAAATGGTTTTAAGTCAAATTTTTGCAATACTTATTAATTATACTATTAATTTTTTTTTGTTAAATGTATTAATTTTTGCAATATTATTTATTTGGCGAGCATGAATATATTAGAGATGACGCGTGATATTGGACTTGATTAATATTGGCATGCATGATAATCTTTCTTTTATTTGATATTATGATGGGATACTAGAATTGGAATTTAAAATTTGTATGATGATCATCTCTTCTGCATCCTAAATATGAGTCGTGCGTGATTATACTCAAGACACTTTGAATTATTTGTACAAGTTGTTTCGATTTACTGCCTAAGAACGAGCAACAGTTCAAGCATTGTGGTTTTTAATTTGGCGATTTTTCTGCATGTAAGAGTGATATTTTGGTATGATTCTAGAAGTTATTTTGTCAAATTCCTAGTGCTTTGGAAAATTCTGCTGTAAAGTTGTTTGACTGAAGTAAAATTCAATATCTATGAATTTAATATGTTTGTATGTTTTGTAGGGTTTGATTAATCCAACAATGCATGGAAATAATGTGGAACACAGGACAATTGGCGAAACGCAACAAAAAGAGAAGCTAGAACGAAGCAAGGAGAGTTGAAGAAAATTCAACTGACGCCCATTCCATGGTTAGTATCTTTTTTTCTTTTATATGGATTTGATTTCGATTACCACCGCGGATCATAAAATACCCTCAGAACCATGAGTCGTTTACAAGAATTCTTATAGATCATCCGTCAGTACAATCATCACATCGATAGCAGAATTCGAATGCACGATCTTTTATGAGAAAGTGATCTATTCTTGTCAACTTGTCAACTGACTCAACTTTAAAATAAAATCACACTTGTTCATTTGTGACCCAAGACCGGTTCCATCACCAAATAACCAAGACAAAGAAGCTTAGTTAAGGAAATCTTCCCTTTTGTATACTATTACTGATATTTCCCTCTTATTTTATTGGTCACTATTTGTTTCTGAACTCTAGGAGTTTTTTTTCCTAGTTATTGTATTCTTCTTCATAACAATAAACTTTCAAACCTTGTTCTAGTGGTGATTTCAACTAACCAAATCATGGAAATTTTGTGTCTTTGTATGTTATTATTTTTTCTGCCAGACTTTATTAATTTTTTTAAAATTTTTCTTAGTTGTCAAACAATTTTTGTCAAACTAAGTGGGCAGGTGGGATCCTAACAAAGGATGCAGAAGTTTCCCTAATTGTTGGCTCAAAAAATACATAGCGGAAGCATAAGTAATTTGATACTCCTTATTAGGAAATTTTTAAAACACACAATTTCGAACAAACAAATAAATTTGAGGCACAAAATAATGAAGGAAAAATAGGTGGTGAAAAGGAATGCATGGGAGACAAAAATAAAATTTCTTTCATTACTCAAACTCCTCTACAACTGGTGGTGCCAAAAAAAAAAAAAAGGAGGTGTGTCAACATTTAAAACCAATCAAATTTCAACACACTTATAACTTGTATTTGATTCTCACTTTGCATCTTTAACTTTTATTCAATTCTGACATTGAACCCTAAGTTTCAATATTGAAAACGTTGCACTCTAAACTCTAAAATTTGTTACAGTTGTGTCCAATCTTTAGCACTACTGAGGAAAACTAATGGAGGTAAAAAAGTGTACACAACGTGCAAGTATAATGGTTACTATCCTATTAAAGATTAAAAAAAAAAAGAAATAGACAAGGAAAGCTTTCCATCCTTAACCAATAAATAAATTGGTCTTATAGAGTCTTTCGGTCAAAAAAAAAAAAAACTCAATTACTCGACAAAACATAATAGAGTGAACAATAAAAAATTATAAAATTCAGATTTCTATTGGAATATTTCGAGCATGAAATTAATCCAAGACTAATCTTGCAAGAAGAATTTTTTAGATGTGCCAAACATCAATTAATGATGTGAATAGTCCTTATCAGAAAAGATCGATTGTCTTAATACATTTAAGTTACACATAATTTTTACTATGTAAATATGCATATTAATAATTATTATCCTATCTTTACGTGAATACACTTTTGTTAATGTATTTAACTTTTTCAAATAATCACGGAAGATATTGATAGATAAATCGAATGCCATGTGGAAAATACATTGGTGACGGCTCAAAAAACAAATGCTACTCCTATAAATTACGAGAATCATGGAATATCATTCATTTTTCTTCTTGGATCCTTCACCTTGATCTTCCAATGCCCATCAGAATAATTGCCATCCTTTGCAATCCTCCTAAATATCACTGCCCTTTCTTCCATATCAGGAGTCAGCACACAATAAGGTTTCAACTTGTTTGGCATGGAATCAAACACTTGCCACCACTTAGCATGAGCAGAATCACTAGCAAACCTCTGATTATCCTCAATATCCCAGTTACAATCATAGTCTCTATAGCACATCCAAGGCTTCACCCCAAGGTAATGCATGGCATGGGTATTTTTCGGGTACAAATGGTCCGGACCACAGTCAATATTGCTGAAATCCTTGAGAAAATTAGCTTTATTAGGCCATCTATGCCACCATCTAAAAATCTCATTCAAGAATCCCTGATCACCTCCGTTGTACGAAACTATTGTGAATCTTTTCTCCATCATGGTTTCGAATGTGCACCTCGATGGCTCGATTAACATGACTCCAGAGTTGAATATATGCCTATTGTTCTCAGCAGCCGATAATTGAGGGTACAAGAAAAACTCGTCTAAGTTCTGGAAAACTAGCATGTCTGAGTCTATAAACATGACCTTATCATACTCGGTGAGCAGCCAGATTCGGAGCTTGCTGTAGTTGTACTCGTTATATGCATTTTTTTCAGCATTCGGGCTTTTGATTCGTTCGATCCTCTTGATTTTCCATCCGGCATGTCTTAGAGCTTTTAAAGATTCGGAGGAAATTGAGCTGTCTGCTAGCAGGATCATGTCTTTTTTGGTTTTGGAGTTGATGATGCTTTGGCCTAGAACTATTGCACCACAAAGGTAATCTTCTGAAGAATGGAGAACAGTCACATAAGCTTCTCGTGGCTGCTGGAGAATGCTATTTGATGCATTCTTGTTCCACCCTACTTGAGCTGCATTTGACATGGCAAAAAGATTTTTTTTTGATAAATAAAGTCTATAATTTATAAGACTACCATAACAAAAAAGGACTCACTTTTAATTAAAGTGATGGGTTCAGAAAATTAATCAGTTAAAACGACGGGAATTAAAAAAAGAAAAGATTAGATAGAGAAAGAGAGATAGTTCTGTTGTCATTAATTTTTGCTTAGAGGTAAAAGATCCATGCAACTTGTGGTGTATTATTTTATCAATTTGCAAGGCAAATTAATAAATAAGATTTCAAAATTATCGTACTATTTAGGGAAGAAATAAAAGAAAAAAGTCAACAATAAGATAGCACTACAAATCAGTTGACGAGTTATCAACCATGATAGGAGGGGAAGAATGGGTTGGATGGTACGAGAAGAAAAAGTGTAAGTGAGAGATCATGGGTTTGAGACCTCTCACTTACAACAATATATATATATATATGTATATATATATATATATATATATATATATATATATATATATATCAACCATGATAGCTCAATTTAAGTTTCTAGCATTACATAACCTCTGTAAACGACCCAATAACAGAAAAGTTAGATGCAAGAAATTTTTAAAAATGTGTATACAGAAATGGTTTTGGTACTTCATGTAATGACCACCAATATCTACATTAATCTTTACCAAAAAACTTTTTGGTAAAAGTTTGCTACATGGAGTTAAAAATCACTCCCTATCTTCCAACTACTAGTATTAACTATTCAGTCATGCAATGCGCATAACCTCTCGATATGGTCAAGGTAAAATCAGAGATGCAAGAATTGAAACATGCACATACATTTATATTTTAGTAATTCATGTAATAAGTAAGCTATTTTGGACCACCTATATCGTCGCTATTTTGGACCACCTACTTATTCGTGTAATAAGTAATGCTATACTTTACCCCACAGGCCACACCCTTAGTGTAATTCTTCCCAATCCCCCCAACTACTCTCAGTGGTGAACTGGTGATAAAATATGCAATGTTTTTAAATTCGGACCGGAGAATGAATCGAAAAACCTTTCGGTTCACGGTTCGACCCCGGTTCAAAGATTTAATAATTTTTTATTGATTTTAATATTAAAAATTGTGAATAAAACTAAAATATTTATTTTAAAAAATAAATACTTAATAAAAATCGGTTGAACCTCCTGATTTTTACCGGTTTTGATCGG